TGATTATTTTATAAAATGAAATGAAGTAACATGTAGCTAATACTGTCAAAATAAATATTGAAGGATATGAAGACCCTTAAAAAAATAATATTCCGCAACTCATTGTAAATAGAATATCCAGGTATAGATTGATTTATTATGTATTTTTGCAAAATCACGAAAGGTAGCCATTAATGAACTGCACTTTTATGCAGCATGATTTGTAGTGAAGGTTGAAATATATAGCAAAAGAATTGTTCCTAACTCTTCAAACACAGATTGTGGCAAACAGATAGAATTAACAAATTGTTCATGTCATAGTAAACATGTGATTCAGACTTCGATTGATGAGCGCAACAAATCTATTGTGTTGTGCATTTGAATCTTGCAGTGATCACGCTCAAAGATTTTTCTAGCCAAAAAAAGAAATTGAAACTGAAATTATTCATAGTATTATTCATTCAACATTGGAACTCCTCGATGAGTTCTTTCACTTACATTCTTGGGCACAGATCCATGCCGACACCCAGGATTGAGACACTTAGTATGTTTAAAATGCCTCTTTCAACTAATTCTCTCATGCAATTTCTAATCAAAATAATAAGCCTCAAATACAATCTTATTGTCACTATTTATTACAATATTTTGTCCACGAATGCGAACAACACAATACAAGTCGTGTAAAATCAAGCATTGAGACTTTCTTCGCACCGATATTTCATTCAGTTCTGACTGGGAATCAATATTCGGTTAATAATTTAAAGAGAATAGAGATGCCACATTTGTTTCATCTTCAATTTGGGTGGGGTGTGGGTATCGGTGTGGGTGTAGGGTGTGAGTGTGGGTTATTCTCCTTTAATCACCCACACCCACTCACAACCCACACCCACACACTCACTCACACCCACACCAACACACCCACCCACATCCACACCCACACCCAACTCTTTCGGTCCAACCAATATGCTAAAAAATAATATTGCACGAGGGATCAAAACTTAGGGAACACCCTTTATGTTTTAACAGTATAATAATTTTGATCAGATTAATTGAAAGAATTTCTCTTGAGGGTGTGGGTGTGGATGTGAGTGTGAGTGTGGATGTGGGAATGGGGTGTGGGTTATTCCTTCCACTACATCCACATCCACACCCTTCACAAGCGTGACGCGATGACGTTTTGTTCATAGTTTTTTCAACATTTCTCAGTAATGATGTATATTTAGAACTTCATTCTTTCAACGAAATACGTATCTCTTCGAACCTCTACACATCTGAAAATATTAGCCTTTTTAGTATAAGTCATTTGAGAATTATAGTGAAAGATCATGGACAAACGCGATGACGAAAAAAGAGACAAAAAATAGAGAGTAGTGTGATTACATTTCATTTTTCTGCGAATTTATGCTCTATCGAGAAAATCATTCTATGGTCATTCGATAGTTGACGTTTCAGTCCTTCAGATGGAAAAAAGAAAATTTCGAAATGAATATTTTGTTTGAATTAAAAACCGTATCTATCAACGTAACGCGATGACCGTCTTGTAACGCGATGATGCTTAATTTTAAAGGTATTTTTTTCTACACTCTTTTTCACTATAGAAACAATTGCATAAAAAAGACATAATAGTTTCGTCATTATTTTATATGATCACACGTTACCTATTAAATTTATTGATTATTTCATCGAACAAACCATAAAAGAGGAAAATCTAATCAGGTATAATATCGAAGAGTTAATTCATAATCATAGTGGAAAAAAAATTATACAAAATACAAAAAAACATTGCAATAATTGTTTGATTCCTATAGTATTATTTATATTAACAGCGATTAAGACATAAAATGAAACCCATGGTGTAAATTTCTGCGAAAAAAACGCGTTCTGAAAACGCATTTTTACATAGCTGCACAACGCGTTAATGCTGACCGGTTTGACGCGTTTCACATCTGCTAAAACAAACGCTGTGTAACGATTGTTTTTGTGAAAGATTTTGCAGCGTCTCTCAAACTGTGGTATCATATATTTTAGATGGAAAAAAAACTGAAAACCGTCAATGACTTCATAGATCTTGAATTGCAGGTACAATTTATATACTCGTTTACATTTTTCATAGACCTTCAGAACTATAACTTACATGAATTTTGATGCAGTCAAGACACGGATTCGAACACGAGAACAGAGGAGTATAAGACATATGTACAAACCGTTCAACTAAAATAATCTGATGATATAAATGTTTATTCTACTGTCATTTAGAGTCTCACGTAAACTTACTAAATTAGATTTTCAGTTTCCACTCTACTGAATTGAAAATTATTATTTCTTTGGTGTCCATGTCCAATTAATGTGGTCTTTTCTTGATACATTTTTTATTTAAACTCTTTCAGATTTCAACGTAGATACTCAATAGAACCGAATTTAATCGATTTAAATTATATTTAATATTTAAAAAATTAAATTTCTTATATATAAGTTTTAAAAAATTTAAAATTTAATCTTTTATTTATTTTCTTGATTTAATAGATTTTTGTAAATGTAAAATTGCCATCGTTTTCTCCAATTACATCAATAAATGAAGGGAGTTTTCTTTTGTAAGTCGAATCTCTTTTATTAAAAAGTCACTTTTACTTCAACAATGTACAAACTAAAATCATGTTTACTAGTATTGTACACAGTATCATTATTCATTATCAATTCGTTCGAGTATGAACTCATACTAATAATTATTCAAATTATAGATAACGTGATAATTATTTTGTTCACAAATAACCAAAGAGAGTTGCCATACTAATTATATTAGTATCAATCTTTACTAAATCTTTTCAAAATGCTCAATATTTAAAACGATTCTTAAGTAAACCTTACGAAACATGTTTTCTTTCAATAAAAACGTGGTGAAATGAGTTTTTAAGTAAGCAGAATATATTTTTGTTACACTTTGATGTTTTACATTAGTCTAACTTCGAAATAAGTCTAGATAACAGCCTAGCAGCCTAAAAGTTTAGAAGACTTTGATTTTAGTCTTGCCTTCATAAAATCCTTGGCCATGATTTTCACGTAAAAATAGTGCAAGGAGCAAAACTTTAAGTGCTATTTCATATCATTTCTAAAGTAATTTTAAAGAATTTACTTTGGTTAACTCATATGCTTTGTGTTAGTGAATTTCTGCAAGATTCTGTATGCAGAACGGATATATTTTGCATCATTCCAAGCAAAAACAATCCAACATACATTTGAAAAAGGAACGCGTTCCACCTTTCCCTCAATTTGCACCTGTGAAACGCGTCGCCTGTCGACCAAAGTGCGTTCGACAACATTTGAATTCGGAAACGCCTCGAAACGCAATCTTGAAAAAAGCGTTTCGGATCGTTTCTAAAAACGACGGTGGCAAAACGCATTTTATGTAAGTAAGAATGCTGCGAAACGCGTCCTGTATTGAAAAAACGTTGCGAAACGCATGCTACAATCTCGGAAACGCGTTACGCGATCCGTTTCCTTCAATATTTTACTCCATGGGAAGAAGTGTAAAATGAGATCTAAATGATTCTATAATGTATCAATAAAATATTCACAGTTAAGTCAAAGCGATCTCTATTTAAAATAAATTACTAATTTTCAAATCTCAAATCGATGTGTTTTTTTGTTAAACTACTAGAGTAATATTCATGTTCGATTGAGATATTTGAAAGCACACTGACTGAATGTTTTTTTTTAGTCTTTGGTACTGATTTGAGTGATTGATATATTCATTCTAATTTTATTTTAGCATTATCGATTCGATATTGCTCGATTTCACATAGTTCGATATTATTTGTCTTTGATCGAGCAATACTAATAAAATCAGCTGCTAATGTATATTTTTGTCCACTTAATATAGATCGATATACAAGACGTTTTATGGACCCACCAATTCCATCGACAACTCCTTTTCCATGGCTTGTTGCAAAAAAATGCCATGACAACTGTATCTAAAAACCATAAAGAAGGATCGAAATCAAGCTCTTGAAAACAAAACTTGAATATTTACGCTAAACGTTTCAAACAGACGACATAAATTTCTAAACAAGAATTTTTGTTTGAATTGTTGAGCAGTACCGCCGGAAAATACATGTACTTATTTCAATTCATGGAGTTTTATTTTCAATTTATCAAATAAATCATCAAGTGCTGCAGTTATAGAATATTTATCGTGAGATAAATTATTTGAAACATAAACAAATGAATAACCGGTATCTAAGCTCCAAGCATAACAAGTAAATAATGATACAGCTTTTTTTTTGTATAGAAAGATCCTTGTACAGCATCTTGAACTGCTAATATAAAGTTTTCACTATAGTCAACTTGTACACAAATTGTTTCCTTGTCCGATATTGATTTGATCATTTCAAAATACGTAGCTTGTCATCTCTTGATAAATACATGTATCAAAAATGACTCGAGTTGTGCTTCAAGTGTATTTAAACATTGATGGATTGTACCATTAAATTCTTGTTTTTCTGAATATCCATTTTTGAATACCCATTGATACCATTGAATTTTTTGTGCTGGATTGAGTAGATACTTTCGAAATTTATCATTAAAATAATTAGCACATAATGAACACCTATTGAACATACAATTTTCATCATCTTCATTGCACACCAAAGCTTTTGAAAATGATTGAAGTGAAACTAAATTAGGATTATTAATACATTTGGATAATGGCTTTAGTAATAAATTAACATTTTCATGATAACAACACAAACAACTGTGATGAGGCATATGAGAATATGTTAATACATTCAATGGACGCAAAGTACGAAATGAGTTAACTAACAATGCATTATTTTAATATTACGATCGATCAAAAATAATTCATATGTTTCACGAATGCTATTCAATAAAATTCTTTTTTGCAAAGTTGTTGAACCATTTTCATCTTCTATTGTAAGATATTCACGTTTGCCAGGCATTTGATGACTGATATCATCGCGGTTGTAAAAGTTAATCACAGTTTGTTTTAATTCGATCGGTAACTATCGTTATTGACGTTCTTGCTGATTAGTTGTTGTTGGAATAATATCAAGTGTTTGTGCTATATGACGAACTACAGCAATACGTTTATTTGGTTCTTTTGATAATGATTTCTGGACACGTTTAATGGCTTTACCCAATGATTGACGACTTTTGTGAGTTGATGATTGATTGTCATTTAGTCGCTTTAATTTTAATCCATCACGATATTTCTTTGATGCCTGTTTTTGTCGTATACGTAATTGATTTAATGCATCACCTGTCAGATTTTTGGGTCTTGCGTTATCTCGCATTCGAGATTTTTGCTTCATTTGTTCAAATTTTAATTTATCTTTTGCTAAATTGGCACGATATATTTTCTGCCTTTCGACATTTGATTTTAGCATTTTTAGCTGTAAGTACTTGTGTAATATGAATTCTATTTAATTAATTTATAAACAAAAAACAATTTCGCGAATAAAATTCTGTCGAGATCTTCGTTTTACAAAATGAGAAATCGAAATTGACAATAGACTAGAACAATAGCGTACTTGAGACAGATCGATAAATTTGATTGGTGAATTTATTGTACTTATAGCGGCTTTACAAATTAAAACCAATCAGAATATTCTCTAATGAAAATTAATTTTACGAGTAGCTAACATAAGAAGTTATTACACATAGATGAAAGTTATCTTTGAGTAACTGATGAATACTTTCAAGTTTTCATTTATATGCATTTAACATAACGAAATTGTGAAAAACCGTCAACGCGTTAGAGAGAAAAAATTTTAAAAAGGAAATTTTTTTCTTAAAAATATGTGCATTAGATAGCTCATGAAAAGTTAGCTTTTCCATATGTATTTTAAACCAAGATCGTTTCGCACGAACAGTAAAAAAAACAATAATGATTTTTTGTTACGCGCTGATGTTATAAATATTGACTTTTTCCTCATACTCTCTGTACAAAAGTACAAAGGATAGAAAATCCATTCTTTTGCTAGTAGATGCCTTTACTAACATAAAATTAATACGTGATTATCAAGCGCGTATATATTGAGAAGGTTCGATAAAACGCCTAGTTAGTTAAATGGGTCAAGTCGACTAATTTTCATCATATGGTGGTGACATCTTTGCCAGGAAATGCTAAATGCTTTTTAAAGCGTATTTAACTGAACAAGATATGTTTTCATACATTTTCGACCATGTCCTACAACATACAAATAACAGGTTCTCGGATCGACGACTTCGAACTTCCGGTATCAGAGACGATGCGTTACGATTTTTTGCCGATTTATTTAAAGAAGAAATCAAATAATCAGCAAAGCTACTTGGTCGATAATGACCTCCATTCAAGACTATAATCGATTTTGTTTTAAATTCTATAAAAAATCTTCAAAAGGGAAGAGAACAATTAGTCGACGATTTTTGTCATTAGGGACGAAAAAAATAGCAGTCACTTACCCATTCACATCAGTCGTTTTTTCATTCTGTCACTGATGTATGTTATCTATTCGAAAGAATTGTATATTCGTTCATTGTGGAATGTAACAGAACGAAAGAAAAGAATTATGCAAATTTTTGGTCCTATAGATAACATGCATCAGTAACAGAACGAAAAAAGTGAGTAATGTGAATGAGTGAGTGATTGTTATTTCTCTTCTGCCCCTATGGTTATCCACGCGGTTCAAAGTGACTGTTTCATTTTGAAAAAAACGTATTGGTCATTCATGTCCTGTATTCAAACTAAAATAATATGATCAATTGGGAACACCATCCACTAATATCGATGTATCAACATGGATCCATTGCCTTCAGCAATCCTAATCATTCATTTTTAACATTTCGCATAGCCATTTGAGTGATTCTTGATGAGATAGATATACATGAAAATAATGGAATGAAAAGATTTGACTTCTTGAACTAGCTAGCATAATTGATTGGTGATGTTAGCAACATGAATTCTAATGAATAACTTAAGTCAACTTCTCACAATAGATCACTCGCACAGTAATTCACTTCGAACTATTCTGCAAACACAAAAAAAGAACATCCGATGAAGTCGATGAAGCGAAAGAAATAAAAAGTGCATTGCATAATAGTGTACGAATACAGAATATCTTTTATGACACTTTCCATTGATCGTTACCACAGATAAGTAGATCTTGAGTGTTGATGATAAAGATTTTCTAAATCTCGAGTGAATATCTTGTTGTCGAATCTTTATTTTATATTAATAAATATCCATCTGAACATTTAGTAAAAGTTATCTTCCATGAAACGCGGTATAACAAAATAAACAAAAAACAGTTCAGTCTATACGAAAAATTTCATAAATTGAACAGAGATTTACATATAGAAATAGCTTAAATGAACTAAAAATTAGAAATAAAAACACTGATATAATATACTTTAAATGATCCTTCTGTGCAATTCTTTTGTAGTGATAAACCTGATGTCTTCAATTGCTATTCTTGGTCATAATTATTGACAGCTAATGAATATTGTAAAATTGTTGTTGCCAATATAATGTTACCAATTCAACTCGGTTTATCTTCCGTACCATCAGATGACGATCGTAACAGTGAATCGACGATCATATAGAAATATTAATCAATAAATTAAGCATTTATATATAAAAATCGAGAAAAAAACAATTTCACCATTTAAAATTTTTATACTACTCTGAAATTGTTACTTTAAAAAAAACCTCAACAAAACTTCGTTCCAATTAAATATTTCCTTAACAATCAAACCTAAAAAGTTTATTTTATCATTTTCCCATGAAAAATCCTACTTGAGGAAAATTTCAATTCTACTGGCGGCTAATTAAGAGAGAAGCGAAAGCTACAAATATCCGGATGCAGTTTTAGCTTGCCGGTCTTGGTAGCGTGGATCATGAGTTAGATCAGGAAATATAGATTTTTTCCTAAACTTTTCACCATTTCAGCATATTATATTTAAATTACATCATTTCCTGTTTGAATTAATCAAAAAAAGAAGTACTTAAAAAATACCTTGAAATAAAATACAAAAAATATACTTTTACATAGCTTCGCTTTTAAATTAATATAGCTGATCATCGTTTTGCTTTCCTCGATAATATCAAACAAAAACAATAAATCAAAAACGATTTGGACTTGAATGACGTTGAAAAATGCTTGATGGAAAATAAGGCATCGACTCTGTGAGCCGCAATTAGCTCTATTCTGAAGTAAGAAGGATTATTTGGTGGACTAAGTGGTATATTATTGCATGAATTGACATCCCACATTGTGATCCTCGGATTCACTGATCGTGAGAAATGATTGATGGACCCGAGTTCTCCACTCTCAAGAACGTTAAGTCAAACTTTATGAAAAATTATGATTTTTTTAAAAAATTTTTTGTTAAGTGAAAAAAATTATTTGAAAATTTTCAAAAACCAATGATACCAATCAATTCCTCGACCCCTGAAAACCTTCGGTCAAGCTTTACAGGATGTAGATGTAGAAAAGAACTGAACATTAATCTTTCAGATGATGTTTTTTTGACCCTGATGTTCTTTTGACTTTGACACATACATATATACATACAAACGCATTTTATTGCATATGGCCCTCGCTTCAGTCGAGAGAATAAGACCATCCACTCGTATTCTTCAGGTCGTTGTCGAAAAACTGTTCATTGATTGAAATTCTGCTATATAAAATTCATTTCACAGTTGCATTCCACGAACCAGCTTTAGAGAACCTGACAGTGATTTAAGTCGGGATGTGCGCGCGGGTGTAGGGGTTAGTTATCAGTTACCACAAATTGCAATCTTCATATTCATCCCTACATCAAATCCACATGTGTGAATAATAAAGCGAATATGATCGATTCTGGTGACCAAAGAGAGGTTTTGATTTAGGGATTTTGTTCTAAATATAAGATACATCATACATGCGATAATTCAATACCATCTTCTACCATGCTGAACATCTTTTACCATCGTAATCAAGTACTGTAGTGGAAAGCGTCGTGCGGTTAAATACTGTCTGGTCACTAGAATAGAACTAAAATATAATTATAGAGTGTACTTGAAAAATTAACTGTG